TTCAGCAGCGGCTGAATCTGGACGCCAGTTCCGACTTACATACAGATTCAACTTAAGAACAAACCTACAGTCCCTATCTTGTACGTAACCCGGGGACTGCCTGTACTTGATTTTAGATAGTGTATTTGAGCTATTGCCTCTAGGTAAAATTCATTAGTTTACTTTTGCATACATAACATCTGATTATCTTTAAGATCCTAAAATTGTCCCTCTGTTTCACTCATTTGCGTTTCTACTGGTACACTGGCTAATTTTTCCTTGACCTCTTATCTCTCTCTCATTTTCTTAATCAGGAATGGTTGGAAAACTTTGAAGAAGAGAGAATATTTTCTGTAGCAAAAGTTATCCATTTCCTGACTAGCCTTAACCCTAATGCTTTTCATTTTTATATTCTTGGTCTACTCTCTCCTTTCTTCTCATTTTTCTAATACTGTTTTTTTCCCCCTAATACTATTTTTTTGCACCTTTTTAGGGACCACCTTGTCTTTCTTTTCCTTCCTTTCATTTTGTGTGATCATTGGTTACCAATGGTAATTTATTTCCTTGTATTAGTTTACATTACCTCTATAATCCTAGAGTTCTCTGCATTTTTTGTATGCTTTGGGAAAGGATTGACACTTTGAGTAAGTCATTGAGTCTTACTCCAAACTGTAGCCATTCTGTGTCGCAATGAACACCAGCATCTGCTCAGTGAGCCCAAGGGGCAAATCAGCAGATTTTTAGGGAGATGTTGTTGTGAAGCTGTTACTTTTTTATTTAATGGTCTTTCAGAACAAACTATGTCCAGATTTAATAATAGGAATGTCAACTAAAAAGCCTGTTTACCAACACCATAGTCAGTAAATGTATGGTTTGATTTCCCATCTATTGTGCCCAGTGTTTGTTTCCTTGGTGCAAGAATTTATTGCTGAATTTACACTGAAGATTAGTAGCATGCAATCTTTATTGAGCCACATTGCTCAGACTATTAGCTCCCTAGTAAAATCACATAACTTTAATGTTATGCTAATTTATGATAATTTTGATCATCTTTAAATGTAAATTTAGCTTAAAAGTGAAGATTTTGTCATTTAAAACGTGTCCCATGCTTCCTTTTTAATGAATGATTTTAAGGAGTTAGTTATAAATTCACCTTACAACTACTTTAGTATGGATGATTTCTTCTTTTAAGCATTTGGCTTCCTCCAACGACAACCCCTGCAGTGGCAAACCATCTCTAAGTAAATGCAGCTGGCTTGCTGCACAATCATGAATGACACTGCATTTCATTATTAATAATTGAAGGAGCTTTGTCTCTCCCTGCTGGGTCCTGTATATAATTCATGGATCATAAATCTACTCTAAAATCTAGGAAAAATTAAATTTTATTGAGCAAGAGAGGTTGGTGAGAGATTTTATTTGCTAATAGCTAGAGCTTGTATTTACATGTTTTCCTCAAAATATTCTAACTAGAAAATTTAGAATGACTAATTAGCCATCTTCCAGCATTGTGATGGTGTTAGTTCTTGAAAGTCTGTTTCCTACTTTAACACCATAAGGTAGGTCTTAGACCAGTGGTCCCCAACCTTTCGAGGTTGTCGGGCGCCAGGGGGCGTGGCCATTGGGCGCCAGGGGGCAGGGACACTTGCGCGCCCGGGGGCGGCCCCCCCCCATAGCTGCATGCCCAGGGCCGGCGCTCCCCCCGCCCAGCGCCGCGCGCCCGGGGCCGGCGCTCCCCCCGCCATGCACCCGGTGCCAGGCCAGCCCCGAGCACCTGGCAGGCGTTTGGAAATGCCCCTGCGGGCGCCATGGCGCCCGCGGGCACCGTGTTGGGGACCACGGTCTTAGACAAACAGAGAAGTTTACTTCACTCTCTAGACCAGGGGTCAGCAACTTTTCTGAAGTGGCGTGCCAAGATTTAACCCTCCTGTCCTGGACCGTACCACTCTTCTGGTGGGGGGAAGTGTCTTTCTCCACTGCACACCCTGTGAACCACCTGGCTCAATGCAAACCTTTCTGCAGGCTACCAGATGCTAATGGAAACTCACCGTTAATTACATAATTACGCCCAAGCCATTTTACTAGTGCTGCAGCGAGGGAGAATGGTTTAATTTAAAGTATTAAACAATCTAAGCATTTTAACTTTCTTGTGTTAGTTTATCAAACTTCATTTTAAAGAAAGTAAAATATTAATGTATGTCCAATACAAAAGGTTTCCATGTTTTCTTTATTTACGACAGGGATGGGGAACCTTTTTTGGGTCAGGGGCCACTGATCCACAGAAAAATCAGTTGGGGACCACACAAGTGAGATGCGGGGGAAAAAAAAAAACCTCCTCCGGATATCCCAAACCCTCACTGATGTGGCTCTCAACTGAGAAGACTCACCCTTCTGGTGTTCTAGCCCCATGGAGTGAGGGGAAGGGACAGGGAGGACTGAGGCTCAGGACCAGATTTACTTTCTGGGGTTCCAGGGTTAGTGGATTTTGGGGACTCCCTTAAGCTCTAGGGTAGGGACCAAAATGAGGGATTCAGTGTTCGAGACAGGGCTGCCAGTGAGTGGGATAGGTATGGGGGTGCAGGATCTGGGCAGGAGGTGGGATGCAGGAGGGGGTAAGGAGGGCAGAGTCTGGAAGAGAGTTTGGTGGCAGGTGGGAGTACGAGAGAGAGTTTGGAGGTGTGAGGGGGTTGGGGAAATAACGCAGAAAATGTCAGAGGGGAGAATGCAGCCAAATAGTTGGCACATGAAAACTCTTGTGGCTGGCTGATTATTGTGCGAATGGGCTGAAATTCTCATTCACACACAATGATAAGTCTTCACACATCTTCCCTCTATTCTAGCCTTGCTCTCCTCAGCCCCATGATCCCCTCCTCCCCACAGCCACGGGGAGTGGGGACAGTGTCACTTCCCAGCCTGGCCCAGCCCTTTGCTGAGGGCTCATCCCTCACCTGCAAGCTGCAGCTCTGGGCGCAGCGGGGCACTAGGGAAGGGGCTCCCTGCCGCCACATGCACACACCTCGTGGGGAGAAGTGCAGCGCAACCCTGGCACTGGCGTCCATGTGTGACCAGCCACCCAGCCCTGATCTGTGGAGCAGGCCCAGCCCCACCTCCTCCTACACCAGGAGGCAGAGCCTGTAGCACAGGAGGGGGGGTGTTAACCTCTTAGCTCCCAGGCTGGGCAAGGGCAGGCTTAGGGTTGTGCATGTGCCTCTCATCCTTCCCCCACACCACCAGGAAGCAGTAGCTAGTGCTTCAGCCTGCAGCTGAGCTGCAGCACAGGCTCCCCGCTGCTCAGTGTGAAGGGGTGGAGCTGAGCTCTCGCCCTGTGTGCCACAGAAAATTGGCTCACGTGCCGCTGGTTGCCGACCCCTGTTCTAGACATTATTTGTTCTTATAGATATATGGAAACTGTGACTTGATATGCACAGTTTTTTGTATTATAAAAGTTCGTCCTGTCCTCTACAGAGAGCAGGACAGTGTTATCCATTTCTCAAAAGAAACAAGTTCTGGAATGCAGGTCCGTTCCCTGGAAATCTGAAAGACTTTCCCATAATTGTTCTTTAATTGGAGAGGTGAGCAGACAATTTGATTTAGCAGGGTGCTATTCCTTTTAACATCCTTTTGAGAAACCTTTACATTTAGGGCACTCCTAGGAAGAAACTTTAAGTTAATATGAAGGTGGCAAGACTTGATTTTAAAAGCACTTCATGTAGCGATACTGAAAGCAGTCTAGTATTTTTCTCATTAGTAGTTGGGAGCCTGTAGATTGCAGAACGAGTCTTGAGCATCTTTTCTTCCCATTTTGCTCAGTGGAAGTTAAAGCACTTTGCAGAATCAGGCCCTGCTTTTACAGTGTTACAGAATGGAGGACACTTTCTTTTCCCATGTAAATCAACAGCAGAATTGCCACTGACTTCACTGGAGTGAAAATAGGCTCTAGTGGGCATTAAATATGTATTATTTTGTACTGCAGTAGCACGCAAAGGCCAGGGCCCCTTTGTGCTAAGCATTTGTGTGTGTGTATATGTATGTATAAACATTATCCCAAATGATGTTTTACTTCTTATTACCATTTTTTAAATATTTTGTGGATCACTTATGTGTTAATAGATATCAAGCTTGACAGGTCTGAGGATGTCCCTCTTTTTTTGATATATTTAGAATAAATGTTGATTTTCTTACTTAGTGTGTGTGGTCCAAAAAGTGAGCCTGAAATGTTACATGGTTATTGTTCACTTCTGCTCACTGTGCCTAGTCAAAAGCCACAGCATCTTAGCTTATTCACAGAACAAGGTGTTCTCTCTTGTCAGAATCACATAGCTGGGAAAAACAAACACACATTTACCTCCAAACCTACTAGCAAGTTTCTGATTCCAGTCTTTGGTAGTACTGATATGTAAAGGAAAGGAGGAGTCAAATTTCAAAGTCACTGAACTTCCCTTTCTATCTATTAGAGTAAACAGTGATGAGATTTGTGTTTGTTTGTAAAGCTAAATTAAAGAGTTTTATTGATTAATGTTAAATATGAAGAGTTGGGATGTCAATTTTTGTGGTTGTACCACTCGCTCCTGTCTGTCTCTTTTGGATTGTTGTATGTTATGTATGAGGCCCAATCCAAAGATAATTGAATTTGATAGAAAAACTCCCGCTGACTATGTGAAGGGGCTTTGGATCAGGCCTAGAATGATCATTATGTTGGCAGCCATATTGATAAGGTATCTATCCACTGACTCCACTATTATTGCATTTGCGGCATTATGAGTATGTGGTTTCTAAGAACATTTCATATTGTTTTAACAGGAATGGATTAGCAAACTGCCGGATGAGGACAGAAAGTGAACAGTCGTGTGGCTCTCCAGTTGTTAGTGGCGACCCAAAGGAGGATCACAACTATAGCAGTGCCAAATCTTCCAACCACAGGAGCACTTCACCTGCCAGTGACTCTGTTTCCTCTTCTTCTGCTGATGACCATTATGAATTTGCTACTAAAGGCAGCCAAGACAGCAGCGAAGGGAGTGAAGTTAGTTTCCAGAGCCACGAGAGCCATAGTGAAACAGAAGAGGAGGACAAAAAGCAAAACCGAAAGGAGACCAAGGACTCTCTAGCTGACAGTGGGTATGCGTCCCAGCACAAGAAAAGGCAACATTTACTGAAGGTGAAAAAAGTACCAAGTGACACACTGCCTCTTAAAAAGAGACGTACAGAAAAGCCCCCAGAGAGTGATGATGAGGAAATGAAAGAAGCAGCTGGATCACTCCTGCATTTAGCAGGAATTCGGTCCTGTTTGAATAACATTACCAATCGGACGGCAAAGGGGCAAAAAGAGCAAAAGGAAACCACAAAAAATTAGAACAAATCAGTGATTTGTTTGAACTTACAAAATTTTGTTTTAGCACGTCAGGTGAATTCTAATGATTTGTGGCAATATCAACATTTTTTTGTTTTTGTTTTTTTGGGGGTTTTTTCTTTCTCTTTTTTTTCTTTTGACCCTTAAGATTTTTATTTTTAAAGGAGATTGAAGCCATAGAACTCATACTGACACTCAGCTAATTTACAAAAGCTTTTCATTACCTGAAGACACAAAGTAAAAAAGCCAAAATCACCATTGCTTTCTCCAGCTTGTCAGAAATGCATGGTTGAATACGCAGTGACATCAACATTATTGTGATGGGCGTACAATTCGGCCCTTGGAGATCCCTCTTATACCTAGAAGAGATGTGCATAATTTAGTAATCATTCAGGCCTGGCCCTTAGGTTTAAAAAAAATGGCCTTATAATTAGGTTTATGAGTGAATGTGAATAGAGAGATTCGGAGGATGGAGGTGGCATGGAGTCCTCAACATCTAACCAAGAACCGGTGGCAGTTGGATACAGTTGTGCCATAGAAGTCTTTGGACTGCCACTGGAGGCATTTGCGCATACAGTAATGCACTATTAGTGCTCCCTGTACTATATGTGGCTCATAATGTGAAGACTGTTAACTTTAAGTTGTGGAAAAATTGAACTGTGTATGCAACGGGTTTCAGTGAAATAATGAGGAGAAATGATGCTGGGGGGAGGGAATTGTTAATGGTATTGTTAATCATTGAATTCTGTCTTCTATATTAAATTAAAAGAATGTTCAAAAAGCCATAAGCCTGAAGATTGGCACTGCGTGCAAAAATAATAATAATATGGAAAACAAGCTATGTCTTCTAAACTGCCTGAGTGAAAAGCAATCAAGTCTAAGAAATTACAGTAGATATTAAGGAAGAAAATAAATCAGAATATTTTTCTGTTGATCAAAAATATTTGATCTAATTGGGGAAAAATGCTACAAACCCTGCCATTAGTATTATGCTATATTTAAAACAAAAAATCAGAAACAAAAAAAAGCATATTGATGGACAAGAAACTAGAATACAACAAAGAGCTCCTATACTGCCCTCAAAATTGAGTATGCAGTTAATGTCAGTCAGGATTCATCTGTGCAAAAACATCAGATTTCCAGATTTAACCAGCGTAGCCAGAAGAAAATTCTGATCCACATTGCATGGATTTTGGGGAGAGGAAATTTAAAAAAACAAACAAACTTTTTTTTAATTCAAAGATAAAGTTCTTGTAAGGTAAATAATGTATTTAGCATGAAGCATGAATTATTTTCATATAAATATAGAAAATAGAGAAAAGGCTATGCCTCTAATTTTTAAGCCCTTAGGCTTAGAGTCTGTTTTTGTTTTGTTTTTGGTTTTTGTTTTGGGGTTTTTGTTTCTGTTTTTGTTTTGAAGCAGGTGTTTAAGGTTTAACCTTCTTCAGGGACAAACACTGACTGTTGGGGAACTTACTCTGCAATATTAAAAATATCTTCACACTCTGGTAGGGCTTGGATGGTTGAATTTTACTGCCTTGTCTGCACATTCAGCCCCCTCTCCCTACTTCTGTTTAAAAAAAAAAAGTATGTTCTTTCTCTGCCTGTACATGTGTAACATGATGCAATAATTTGAGGGCAAATTTAGTAGTGAGTGTGTATGATAGAATCAAGAGGATAACGGGAGGCTTAATTGAGGAAAAATAATTTAGATTTGGTTCAGGGATAGGTATGTCAGTGAATAGCTTTGCTAATTTGCCATGAAAAGAAATGAAGTTAGTAAAGGGCCTTATTGATGGTGATCAGAAATGTAGCACAGGATTGGAGGAAGTGATTCAGGTATAGTTGTGCTACTCTCATGAAAATGTTGATAATTAGATTGGAACTCCCTAGAATGGGGAGGGGAGCTGTGAAGAAAATACAATCTCTCCCACCCCAATTTGTGAATTTGGCATTAAAATTGTCTACACTAAGGAAGTTCTCAAGGCAAAAGGAAAATAATAGGGAAGGAAAATCCCTATCATTTTATAAAATACAATTGTTTATCGTCATTAAAAACTTGAGGCCATGATATTTATCCCTGGTGTAACTGTTTCAATCCTCTGAGTTATAGGAGGAAGTATAGCCCATGAACAGGAAGCTATAGTGGGACACGGTTGTCCACACAATGCAATGGAGTAAAATAAAAATTGAACCATGAGGCATTTGGGTTTTTTATGTTATATAGAAAACATATTACAGCACAAGACTGCAGCACCAAAATTAGTTTCTTCTGATTTGCTTAAGTGTAATGCAGGACCCAAAACCTGACTATATTGTGAATTGAATAAAAGTCAATTATCTGGATGCTACAATCTGGTAACTTCAAGCCGAGTAGATTGAGAAGACAGGAGGCAAAGATGGTAAAACCCTTATACTCAGATGCTCTGTATGCAGGGTTGGCCCCCCAGGTTTAAATTACAACCCTACTAACAGTTGCTAACACATAACACACTGGCTGCCAGCAGCACTGAAAAGCAAAAAGTCACAGCTAGGGATTAGTGCAGCATAGAAGTGCATCAGCCAATATTGCTTCCTCGAGGTACAGTCCCTTCATGACAGCCCTGGGGTCTTTCTCCTGTTGGCAGGTACACCAGCTCTGCAGCCAAAATCCACTGATAGTGTCATACCACAACTGCACCAGAAAGTCTGGCCTCTTGTGTTTCATGAATTTCTGGGAAGAGTAACTGCAAATGAAAATGCATTCACTTGCCTCAAAAGCCAATGCAATACACACTTGTACATATATTGTTCCATCCCACCAGTTTGTTGAACATTAAATTCAATTAAGAGTAAAATTTAGTGGCATCAAGTACATTTGAAGTGATGGCTTACTCCCCACCTTCACCAGAGAAAATGGCATGATCACATAACAGTGTGTAAAAACTTTTCTCAGTCACAAAACTTAATTCCAGAATTATTACACTGATATAATAGTTACTCCAGACATACACTAGTGTAACTAAGATCAGTGTCTGTTCTATGACATCTTCTAATTTGGCTGCTTGATTAAATATGTAATTACCACTAGCATTATCCACCCAAGAAAACAAACTTGTGCGCTAATCCCTAATGAAGGCAAGTTATCTTAAATATATTATTTCTATAGAACTTTACTCATTCCTTTATAGATTTGCTGGTATATTTAAATGTCAGCAGGTGCAATTTGTAGCTCCTACACAGGTGTACTTCGAAGATATCAATAGGTCATATTTTACAAAATACTTTCAGGAAATATTTAAAAAGAGGTACTAGAATTTGGCTTTATGTACTAAAGCCCCCTGAAGACTATTCAAGAAGGGCATAAAATATATGTGATTAAAACTATCTATTGTTTTATGCTAAAAATATTTTGTCCCGAATTCCCATAAATGCAGCTGGTGACATTCAGTACATAACTATAGATTGGTGTGTTTTAAAAAAACAAAACCTAAAAGCCCACCTTTTAAAACACACAAAATACACCTAATTGAGCACAATAACTTCTTTGGAATTTGTCCTGGCTCCATCAGTTAAATATTAATTATTTAATAGGTGAATTCTTTGTACATTGGATTGGAAGGTCTGCTTAAGGTTCATGTAGTCTTATGCAACTAAACATTATAGAGCCAATACAATGTATGCTCATAAATACTCCTCTTAAGTATTAAATAAAAACACATTGCCATCTCCTCAGTGCAGTTAGAATCCTGCCAAAACTAACTGGCAATAGGGTGGTCTTATGGACTTAATTATTTGCCAGATTTTTTTTCCTGATAGCCATTTGAGGAAGAGCTAAAATCTCAACTTCTATTTTCCCTACTACAGTATTTTTTAAAATCTTTCAAAATGAATGTCCTCCAAAGCTGGTGTGTGTGTGTGTGTGTATATTTTAGGGCAGCAGTCTATTAATGGCAAATTACAAACCTGAGAGGATTTTAAGGGTGGTTTATAATTGACAAACAAATCCTTACATTTTAAAATATTCATTTTGGAGCAAAAAAAGTTTGCAAGCCAGAGCTAATGCCACAAATAGATTCTGCTAAAGTCTGCAGGTGTAAAGGAATTAACCATTCACTGCTTGTGTGCTGCAGAATATTTGATGATCTTTTATAAAATAATTTTGATGAAATTTTGCCCTTTAAAAATGCTAAGCACAGGTCTTCAGCAGCTTTGCTATTTCATCAAATGTATCTTTCAAAAAACAGAGCTTGAGTCTGATCTCTCACATGTTGAAACCAGAAGTAATTCCAGGAGCATCACTGGAGTTAAAACCAGAATAGGTGAGATTAGACATACACCTCTTTAGCTGTAGTAAATCAGCCTCTGAGCCTAATTCTCATCACACGTGGATTATATATTAGTGTGTAACTTGACTGATGTCCTTGTAGCTAATCCTGATTTACACTAGTGGGAGAAGAAAATCCCTAAACAAACACACCAGCCTTCTATATTTGACTGAATTACTGCCTCACTTTGAAAATTCATATGGTAGAAATTTACAGGCCAAATTCCCTACTTATTTGGACTCAATGGAACTCTAATAGAGTTACGTCAATTTACAACATCAGCGAATTTTGTCCTAAATCATCCTTGGTAAAATTTCTAAAAACACCTAAGTCAAGAGTGACCTACTGACTTTTATTGAGAGATGGGCTCCTAAGTCATTAAGGGCCAAATTTGTAAATGTGTTTAGGTACTCAAAGTTGCATATAGGCCACTGCCTAGTGGAATTTTCAAACATGCCTGGATGTCTTGCTGCTGTTGAAATCAATGGGAGTTAGTTGCTTAGGGCTTTTGAAAATTCCACGAGAGAGAGGTGCCTGGGGATCTGCATCATTAGGCACCATTACAAATCTGGCCCTATGTGTTTTTGAAAAATATATCCTGATTCCGAAGAGAAGTGGAAAACCACATTCACAATTTCAGATACAAATTCAATTCATTTGATCAAGCAAGTGAATCAAGTTATTTCAGCTGGGTCACAGCTGTCCAGGATACCTTTTAAATTTTTATTTAGAAAAGTTTATTTTTTAAATATCTTCTTGACTTTGCCAGCAAAAGAGCATTTGAATCGTACATACTCTTGATTGTAACAAAGTATCAGTGTTGACATTTGACCGGTTCAGTCTTTAGTGTTGTTCTTCACAGCCCTCCAGTAATATATCAAACACTGTTATGCACATAATGCAGCACTGTGATCTAATTTAAATAATACTTTTTTATTATTTATACTACTCTATGTAATATACATCAACACTTTGCTATATAACCTAAGTGATAACCCTTTTCTTAGTTATCTGCCAAACTTTGAACTTCTGTTTGGTTTATATTGTAGTTAATGCGGCTACAAAGTTGTAATGTCTTTTTCTTTTTAGTCAGAATGTGTAAATCAAACTATATACATCTTGTGTGTTTCTATTTTGAGCTGGAGTTTGAGGATTTACACACAAACATTTGGTGTTCTGTATAAATCTGCATACCTTTGTGAAATCATCTGTTAATCCCCTTTTATTTAGTATTAATTGACAGTGATTTATTAGGGTTTCTTGTTTTTACTTTTTCTAATACTGGTTATTCTTGAATTAAGCACAGACTTGTCAGCTGGGTTGCTTTATTATTGATAGTGTATATGACCTTATAAATCTTCCACAGTTCAGCAAACAAGTACTAGCTTCACTGACCAAAAAAAGAAAAAAATTCTCAACCTGATGTGTCTATGGTGCTGTATTTTGCTGGTGTACATTTAAAATAAGAAATGAGTTAACAAAGGTCACTTCTGAGTTGTTGTGCTAAACGAATATCCTTTTCTCTTTTCTGTTAGCATTGAAACAAAGAGTATTTATCTGAAAATATATAATTGGATTTTTTCCCCACTGTATCACATTTGCAATGAGTATAGATAGCATGGGGTTTCTATTCCTTTTGCAAAGAGGGTGAAATTTGCCCAGCGCCTGATCCAATGTCTATTTGAAATGAATGGGAGTGTTTTAAGTTATCTTCATTGGGCTTTGGATCAGGACACCAGCACTGAAGACCCACCACTTAAGCCCAAAATTAAGGATTTAAGTGATGGAAAGGCCTTGTGCTGACATTCAACACTAGAGTGGATTTCACCTAAAGCTGATACTCCATATTAGATGTTCAGATGCTAATATGGATAATAGATCTTAGCTAGAAATTGGATTCCATCCCTCTATGACTGTGGCCTGAAATCCCAATAGCTATTTTTTTCTAGTTCAGATAAGACTGAAATTTTAAGTTAATTGAACATTGTACATTTCCTGAGTATGTGTGGGGGACAACAGTTAAAAGTAATACCTGCATCTGATAACCAATTTCATGCCTGCATCATTCACACTCACTACTTAAAACTGCCATTATGTAAAATGTTGGGGGAATGATTTGTGTGTGTATGAAAAAGCATTATAAACTTGTACATTTTTATACTCTGATTCTGTAATATTTCTGAAATATTTTGTTTTACAGAAAAAAGTGATAAAGCAATCAAAAGACCAATAGGTTTAATATCAGTGCTTAAGGGTCACATGACCTTAACTGGCCAATGAGTTAATTTAGTACAGTAACAAGCCAATTTTTTTTTTTTTTTTTTTTTTTTTTGCTGTACTTGGAGTATGAAACTGCCAATTTCATACATATTGAAATGAGAACTGTGATGGGGGAATAAACAGTGATGTTAAGTTGTATTTTTGTTTACCTAAATGAGCAGTCCGAAGGCAAGTGCAATCAGCCGATCTTTAGGAAATATGAAAGTGTTGATTTAGAAGCATACTTACATTTTACATTTTCTTGATGTGTAATCATATTGCCAAAGACAAACTATTTCATCAATTATTATTGTAAATAACACTTTCCCAAAACCTACCATAAAGTTTCTGTGATGTATTGTCTTCCAGTTGCAATAAAAATTACTGAGTTGCATCAATTGAATAATAGTAGTTTTGTGTATACTTGCTTTAAAATACATTTCAATATCAAGGAATAGAGTTAATATTTTTAAAACACTAATTGCTGTACAATTGTATTTTTATGTAATTTAAATGAGTTATACCCATGGTATGATCCACTACATATCAATGCATTGCTCACATGCAGTTGAATAAATAGGATATCAAATTTTTCATCTTGCTAAAAAGACTATATGCCTGATTCTCATATGTTTTACGTGGATGTACTTACTTTACTCCTGTTTTACATCCAGTGCAAACCAAAGTCAACTTCAGACATGAGATGATATTGTCTTATTAAGAAGATTTCTAGGTGGTGCATTTGCAATCTTTGGGCCAGTCTCTAATTTCAGTTACACCAGTGCAAATCCCAGGTCAATTCATCCTCTCATCCTGCTGTTTTTGGAGTTAAAAAGCTGGCCCAGGTGCTCATTTTGAAAATCTTCACCTCAGTATTTTGTTTAGTGGCTGACTGAACAGTGAAGGATAAGCAAAGAAAGCTGTTACTATTAATAAGCATTCTCCATTTTAAACAGGCCATATTTCTACAGGCACCCCTAAATATATATCTAGACTGAGCTGCTAAGAGCAAATCATTTCCACAGCCTGTTTTCAAAGACTTGGTTAAAGCTGGAGGGGCGAGCTTTCCTGCTGTTGAGTGAGAGAATATGGCTACTGAGTGGCCCCCAGCTGTCCTGAAGCCTTTATACAAACATCCTTTTTCATAATAGACCTTTTATAATGTATGTGTAGTGGTTGGTATGAGATACCACTGATAGGCATCTGGATCTGATAGATGTGGACAGGTATTTCAGGGAAAGGGGGAAACAAACTTCCTGGGTATACACAAAAAGCATGAAAATGCCCCAGGCCAATAACTGGCTGGGCAATTGATACTTTAATGTACTGTCTGAAAATGCTTCATTTTGTAACCTGTTATTGGTATTCAGGATGATCTCAATAGAATGGAGAAGGGAAAAACCCACAAACGAGATGAGATGAAAGGAGATCAGTGAGAAGGAAAAAAACACTTAACTGTGCTCTGGTCTTTCTTCCTCTAATGGATCCCCCCTCCCATACACTGTATGCGAAGCAAATATTTGGCAGCATGTTGTGCAGATGGATCAGCAGTGACATGCATGCAGAAGGGAGACAAGATTTTTTCATTTCATTAAAAGAAACTTGTTTCATTATTGCTCACATTCCTTTCTGCAAAATCTGAAAGAACACTCTTGGGAAGCCATTGCTGGACAAGAAATAAGTGTATCTGGTACAGGAACATATTTACCAACATGGGCTAGCCAGCAAAAGGGGGAAAAGAATGTTTTTTAAGTTTACATGAGAAGGGAAGTGGAGGCCCAATGGATGTGGTCTGTTCCTAGCTTGGTTGTATTCTTCCTGTGCAACCTTGATCAAGTGATTTAATGTCTCCATATCTCATCTGTAAATGGGAACCATGCCTCTTTTACTGATGATAAATTCATTAATATTTGTGAAGCACTCAGATTCTGTGGTGATGACCATACCATAGCTAAATGGTAGACCTCATGCTTTGGGGAAGAAGGTTAAGGAGGGCCAGGGTACACTTGCACTTTCAATCAATATATAAAATAATAGCTACTCACTTGGGAAAATTCTTGTTTGTTGTAACTAGGGGTGTGTCTAGACTACCTAGTTTTGTTGACAAAAGTGGACTTTTGTCGACAAAACTATACCAGCGTCTACACTACTGCTGAGTTCTGTCGACATAACATCGACAGAACTCAGCAGTTTTGTCGACACTGGTATACCTCATTTTACGAGGCATAACACCTTCTGTCGACAGAACTCTGTCGACAGAAGGTGTTATTGCCTGTAACATTGCGTCCAGACTACGGAGTTCTGTCGACAAAGCAGCTTGCTTTGTCGACAGAACTCAATGTGTCTGGACGCTCTTTGTCGACGGAAGTTTTGTCGACAGTATCTGTCAACAAACCTTCCGTCGACAAAACGCGGTAGTCTAGACGTACCCCCAATGTAAACAAGTTACATAGAAAATCGACATTTTAGATAGACTTGGTGAGTGAGTTCTCAATTTTTAGTGGAATAAAGGCTCTTCCCAGACACATGAAAGTCTTCTATTGTGGAATTAGTAAAGGTGAAGCTGATTGCATTTTCCAGGAGAGCCTTACCCCATTCTTTTGTATACTTTTTCAGTAGTCTCCTAAATTCTAGATCTTCCCAGAAATCTCTTGTGAGATCTGCATTGGCCTGAGGAATAGTAACAACCCCAAAATCTACTTCCTAATCATCGCATCTTGTTAGTCTTTAAAGTGCTGCATCGTCCTTTCTTTTGTTTCTGAGAATCAGATACTTAACTAGTTAAATTAAATTGGTCACACATTAGTCTTGTGCCATAAGAAATGTTTTAACAGAAATTTCTTGTTAGCTTTAGAGAACCATCCTTTAACACTTGGCTCTTGAGAGGTAATATTAATCTATGACTTGTACTCAAAAGTTTTAATATCTCGACATTCCAGAGCATTTGTTTATCTTGGACCTTGCTCTGCTGCATGTCTCCAGTGTCTCTTCAATTATCCTTTCCTCCTATCAGGCTGTAGATAAGAGCTGAAAAGTTCTTAAGATCATTAAGATCTGAAAAGTGGGATTGGTAAGTTTAGTTGGTCTTGGGTTTGCATTCAGAGTTGCAAATGGAACATTAACACACAATGTTCTAACTCCTAAAATTGATGCTCTATCATCTAATCAAAGATTACTTCTTAGGGTGCACGTCTACACAGCAATGTTATTTCAAAATAACAGTCATTATTTTGAAATAACAATATGAGCATCTACACAGCAGTTCCGTTATTTTGAAAGAAATTTGAAATAACAGATGGCTTATTTTGAAATCTGTAAACTTCATTGTACGAAGAATACCGCCTCTTTTGAAATAGTTATTTTAGGGCCTTTGAAAGTAATTACTCTCCAGTACTTCCTGGGGCTCTAAATCGATAGCACATCCACATTAGTGGAGCCTGTCTTGAAATAATTTTGAGGCATCTCTGAAGTGTGGACATGTTATTTTGAAATAAGCTATTTAAAAAAAATTAAAATAGCTTATCTCAAAATAAATGTGCTGTGTAGACGTACCCCTAGACTAGCATGAAATTGTTACCTTTCTGTATGTGTAGATACTGGAGAAGAGACATCAGTAAGGCTGTTCTAAACTTCATACGTGACTTAAATTTCAAAATTTAACTGAAGAATTGTTTATACTGAGTAAATCATTGTGAAGACTCCTAGTAACAACAATTGGAGACCACGCATGGAGTTATACTTTGCACAACAGCCCTTTGCAACATAATCTCTTTATTATGAGCTCCTCCATCTGTGGGAAATCAGTTTTGTGTCCCATAGCAACTCATTAAATTGACAACAAAGTGTTTCCTGTGTATTCACCGCTTAAAATAAAATGAAGCTGCTTCCCTGAATCATCTTGTCCTCCCCATTCCCAGTGTAGAGTGTATTCCTATTTATCAAGTCCAGCATACAAGTTCTGAACTCTTCAGGGCAGAGCCAAGTCTCCACACACATGAAGCACTAGCACTTTGTGCACTGCAAATCAGTGCTGTTATTATTTTTATAACAGCTGATTCATTGTGGCAGATGCAGGTTCTCAACTCCATCTGGAGTAACAAGGATGACGGAAGTGTCTCTCGGAGAGACGGGAGCTAGGACAGAAGTCCTGAAGGGAAACCCAAAGGATAGCCACACAGGGGCTGTGAAAAAGTAGCCTTTTTTCGAAAAAACCTCACCTGCGTCTAGACTGCAGCTGCGTTCTTTCGAAATTAAATCGAAAGAACGCGGCTTTTCTTTCGATGGCGGTAAACCTCATTTCACGAGGAAGAACGCCTTCTTTCGAAAGTTCCTCTTTTGAAAGAAGGCGTTCTTCAATGTAAATAGGGCTTCTTCAAAAGAGAGCATCCAGACTCACTGGATGCTTTCTTTCAAAAAAGCGGCTTGCTCTTTCGAAAGTTCCCGCATGCAGTCTAGACGCTCTCTTTTGAAAGAGGCTCTTTCGAAAGTATCTTTCGAAAGAGGCTTGCAGTCTAGACATAGCCTCAGGGAAGAAGCTGAGATTTATGCTATGCTCCTGCTTTTAACTTGATATTAAAGCCGAACCCCAGGAAAGGGGCAAGTTTGGACATTTTAACTTAGAAACTGTGGACCCTTGCAGGATCCCAGAACCCAGCCTCCAGAACAAGCCCAAAACATGTATACCACAATTAAATAGCCTCTTACTCTGAGCCCCATGAGCTCAAGTCATCTGGCACAGGCCAGCCACAGGTGTTTAATTGCAATGCAGACATACCCGCTGGGGCTTAGATTGAGACAGCCGTCTGGATGCCTAGGAGGAGACAGCAGGCCCAGAGGCAGGCAGAAACACAAGTGCCAAGCAAATGTTTACAGTGGAAATGTAGGTGCTTAGTGGATTTAGGGGATACTTCATGCAGATATTTTGCAGCTCTCTGTGGTGTCTAAAATTAGGATTGAGGTGCCTAAGTATCATTTCTGGGTCTGAGCATATGTGCTGTGCTGAGGACAGGATAAGGACTTGCATGCTTCTGTGGGAGCTAGGCAAGTACCTAGAAGGATAAATAAACGGAGCCTATTCACAGGGTTTTTCAGTATTACGGCTTCTAAAAAATCAAATTGACTAGCTCTTTCAGTTCACAGCCTGTACATACTCAGTACAAGCTGAACCTCTCTAGTCCAGAACTCTCTGATCCTGAAACATCCATGATCTGGCAAGATTTTAGTTAGCTGGATGGGTGTGGCCAAGTTTCCTGTAGTCCCATAAATTTTGTTTATAGCCACCAGTCCTGGCTCTCAGTGTTCTGTGCTGTCCTTTAGCTCTCATTTATCCCTAACGCTATGTCTACACTACAAGGTTTTTGCGCAAAAACCTGCAGGGCGTCCACACCTCAAATGAGCTCTTAT